CTGATCCCCAGAGTTCGCTGCCATAGTGGTGCTGTGACTAGCACTATTACTCCAACTAGTGGTGCTGTGACTAGCACTATTACTCCAACTAGTGGTGCTGTGACTAGCACTATTACTTCAACTAGTGGTCATGTGACTAGCACTATTACTTCAAGTAGTGGTCATGTGACTAGCACTATTACTTCAAGTAGTGGTCATGTGACTAGCACTATTACTTCAAGTAGTGGTCATGTGACTAGCACTATTACTTCAAGTAGTGGTCATGTGACTAGCACTATTACTTCAAGTAGTGGTCATGTGACTAGCACTATTACTTCAAGTAGTGGTCATGTGACTAGCACTATTACTTCAAGTAGTGGTCATGTGACTAGCACTATTACTTCAACTAGTGGTCATGTGACTAGCACTATTACTTCAAGTAGTGGTCATGTGACTAGCACTATTACTTCAACTAGTGGTCATGTGACTAGCACTATTACTTCAAGTAGTGGTCATGTGACTAGCACTATTACTTCAAGTAGTGGTCATGTGACTAGCACTATTACTTCAAGTAGTGGTCATGTGACTAGCACTATTACTTCAAGTAGTGGTCATGTGACTAGCACTATTACTTCAAGTAGTGGTCATGTGACTAGCACTATTACTTCAAGTAGTGGTCATGTGACTAGCACTATTACTTCAAGTAGTGGTCATGTGACTAGCACTATTACTTCAAGTAGTGGTCATGTGACTAGCACTATTACTTCAAGTAGTGGTCATGTGACTAGCACTATTACTTCAACTAGTGGTCCTGTCATCAGCATCGCCGTTTCGTGAATACAACAATGTACTCCATAGGTTATCACAATGCAGCAAGATGACACCCGAAGGATCCTCAATCGCGTGCGTACCCGTCACGGCTTCCCTCATGAAGTGGAAACCTTCACAGGTCGCTTCCGCTGCCCCTCGTCGGAACCCCGATGTTCGCCTCGTTCAGATGAGCTGTTACCAGTGTTGACCACTCTGCGCGAGACTGCTGCTGATATGCGTTACGAGACCTCTGCTGAACTCTCAGCAACAGCTGTAGACGTGCAGGAGCTGCTGGGGCAGTACATGGCGACCTCAGTGGGTGGTTCGGTAGCACGACTCAATCGCCCTGTTCTGTTTCAGCTCATCCTCGATGGAATCGATGCGAAAGTTAGATCGTTGGAGAAGACGATTGGTTGGTCATGACCATCATGATGCGTTCATTCACGGTCTCAATTTTTGGGCGTCGTGTTGTTATCCATTTCGTACAGGGATTCGATCCTGTTGATGATCCCTTCGGCTGTAGTACCTGCATTCTCCCCTTGATATGTAACCCGTGTGATTGGTTTGTTCTCTCGGCAGTCTTGACCGTCTTGATCCTCCACTATGCATGGTACAGAAGATGGCTGCCCCACATCACAGCGCAATCATATCTGAGCGCAGTCCGAAAAGCGCGCGCCATAGTGATCTAAAATACATACTGCGATATTTCAGCGCATAATTCGTTGCGCACGAGAACTTTTGAGCGCAAAGATTGGTTCTAGCTCTGGGTGATCCTCTTGACACTATGTTTGAATTTCAGTCTCTACGTGAAGTCTTTCAAAGGCTACCTATTCAGGAGGGATCGTAACGAGCCCGAACGTTCGAGGAGCGGCTGGAGATGCGTCAAGTCTGATCACCCTCCTGCAGGAAGTCTCAAGTGCAAAGCTCGGTTGACTATCTTAGGCGATCTTAACGGACCGGCCAACATGTTAGTTGTGAAGAATATTGATTAGGGGGCTGAGCATGTTTGTGGGGGCCCGAATGCAGGGAAGGTAGTTCTGGTGAATTCCGTGAAAAAAGCCATGGAACTGTCAGCATTCGAGAAGAGACCAGCCGAGGTTTACGACTACGCCTCCTCAGTACATCGAGCAGTTGCCAAAGCGGTCTTCGGTTATGGAGAAGCTCCGTAATTCAAGGAAAAGAACCACCCGCTGCCGAAAGCTCCTAAGCAGCGTTGTGGGTTTGAGATTCCACCTGAGTTCAGTCACGCTATCATCGGGCAGGAGGTTCGTCCTACACTTGTCTATGACTCCGGCAAGGATGACAAGGACCGAATTCTCGTGTGGAGTGATAAACTTTTGGTTCCTTCATTATTGTCTTGTAGTGCCGCTGTACATATTTCGGGTGATGGTACTTCAAAACTGCCCCTCTTGAAGAGGGCCTCTTCTATGGGCCCAACAATATACTATTCTGTTTCGTCATGTATCTGGACGTATGGTCCCAATCATATTCGCTTTGCTACCGAACAATCTAAAAGGGACCTACATAAAGTTCTTCACGGTTGTTACGAACAACTTGTTCGTAGTATTCTCGGTGAAAATATCACCAGTTGTATTTTCGACTTTGAGCAGAGCGCTGTTCTTGCCTTTCGGACTGTATTTCCACGTGCTGAAATTTGCCTCTGTCTCTTCCATTTGGCCAGAAATGTACTCGATAAGTTTGAAGAGCTTGGATTGATGCGTCGCGCGGCCCCCGACGTGATGTCGACTAGGCGCAAGGCGTATTACAATCTGATGGCCGTCGCCTTTCTGCCTGTGGAAATCCGTATTTTATCGAGACTTATGGTCCTAGCGGGATTTTTCAGCCTTCGTGGTGGAACAAGCGGGAGAGAGTCAGGCTAGGTTTGCCTCGCACAAATAACTCTCAAGAAGGATTCCACCGTAAGTGGAATGGCCTCTTTGCAGAGGAGGGTCATCCAGTGATATGGAAGTGGATAAATGTCGTGCACCGGGTTATCAACCAAGTTCGAGTAGATGTTCTTCAGCTGGATAATGGGGCTCCGTTCAAGCGGTAAGGTTAATCGAGAGATGGATGTTGCCTTGCAGCGACTAATTCTGCAGCCGGTCATCCCAGGTGCCCTGGACACTTGGTTTCAGAATGCCAGAGGCGCTCTTCGGCGAGTCATACCTTCAGTACCTGCTAGCAGTACTGCTCAGCCAGATCAATCAAGTGGGGACGGGCCTGTTTTCATTGGGGACGCACTGGATGATGAGCACCCTGATGCTGGGTACGTGGCAATCATACCACCTTTCGACGAGGATATCATCACTCTGGACTTGACCGCCGACGACGTTCACGCTGTACAGGGAACTCAACACTCTCTGGCAAATGCGGTGATTCCCACGGGTTCCGTAATTGGGCATGAAACTGGGGATGCCCCTGGTGGAACCCAACCTTCTGATGTCACTCGGCAAGCTCACTCACACACCCAGCAACTGCCGTCATTATCGACTGAGCCGCAGGCTTCGGCACCCGCTGAACCGAGTTCGCAAAAACGTGACCGGAGCAATCTCGATCTCGTCTCGCTGGTGGCCGACTATCACTGTTCTCGCTCGAGGCTTCTCGTTCAAAATCAAGCGGATCTTGATCTCGTTCTCGATTCTCGACTGGGCGCAAGCGGAAACACTCGCCAGTAATCAGTAAGGTAGACTGAGGCAGCAGGATTGCGGGCCTGCGTCACAGCCTGTGATGGAGGTCTCTCCCGTCGACTGGGACCTGCCTTAAAGTGGGAGGAAACTAGACACTTCAAAATGCACACCTCTGATGGAGGATATGACCAAGATGCGGTCAGAGGCAGAGAAGGCACCCAGGACAGATTTCAAGCGAGTTTGTTGAATCCGAGAGGTCAAGCAAAATACAACACACAGAGAAGGACGAAACCGAGACAAACGTGAACACGAATGAATCTCGTCTCGCTCTCGAGTCTGCTCGTTAGATCTCGATCTCGTCTCGATCCGTGACGAGATCGAGACGAGAACGAGAATATCGAAATCGGCGCTGAACCTTCCGCTGGTGCTGAGAACCCCAGAGAGGGACAAGGGTTGCTCGACTGGATACGTATTCCTGCTGGTCCGTCTTATCCCTTGCCGGAAATAGTTGTGGACCTCACTGATCGTGACTGGCTGATTACCAATGGCGAGATGATTACTGATAGCATCCTGGATGTTTGGATGACGATGCTTTAGAGACAAGTGGGCGAACAAGGAGTGGTGCCTCCGCAAGCCGTTCAGCTATCTGCTCCACTGCTAGACTCCCCTGGATTCCACTGAGTGCCGACGAGTGGCATGGTTCTTCAGCCAATTGTGCTGCATAGCCAGAGCCACTACGCAGCCACGGCGAGAGTTGGTGGGACGATATACTACATGGACTCGTTGGCCAAGTCGAAGGAGGATATCTCTGAACTCGCCAAGCAGCGCTTAGTAGACTGGTATGGCCCTTCAAGGACGGTCCATTTCATGGGTATTCCTTTACAAAAAATCGGGAGCAATAAGTGCGCCCTTCATGTGTTAGCCAGGCTAACGCACTTTGCGCTGGGCACGGGCGACGTGGCGG